CACTTTTTCAGATGCAAGTAATGGAAATCTCCAGAGGCAGGTATAGATAACCTCGTTATCTCCATACTGATTTATACCTGCCTCTGGAGAGTTCCATTACTTGCATCTGAAAAAGTGAGGTTCTTACCCACGAAAGCTTATGCTCCCAATACTTCTGTTAGTCTTAAAGGTGCCACAGGACCCTCTGTTGCTTTCTTCAATGGAAGCTATGCTCACTTGAGCTAAGGATGAATTTGGCCCATTTCCTAGCGTAGGCAGAAAACCGATCTGGTTTGTAGACGTCTTTGGTCCCGATTTGACCTGACTGTGTCCCTTGAATAAAAAAGGATGGATTCATAAAAAAATAAAAAAAATAGAGCTTGATACCTGAACGCAAGTGTGATCGAAAGGTTTGTTAGCCAAGCTGTAATAAATCAGGCTGATTTGAGAGGGGTTAGATTTTTATTGGTCTCCTAATTTTTTATGTGGCTTCTTTTTTTTTTAAACTCCTTTTATTATGTGGCTTATAATCAATGTTGTAAGAAAATATACAGTGCCGTAAACTAAATCATGAAATGCCAGGGTCAAGGGGTAAGAGGATTTATCGACTGCTGTAATAGAAAATAATGATTGTTTTATAACTGGAGGCATTTGCTCTTCAGGGAAGAGTTGGAATCTTTTTCTGGTCCTGGCTACTTCCATGTGCACTGGTTAGCTTGGGTGGCCAAATTCTGCGCTGATGTACAGTTCAGGGTTCAGCAGTTGTACTGTCAGGATGTCATGTGCCCTGTGCAGTGCAGTGCCAGGAAACCATTGGGGTTGCGTAGGGTATCGGTCAGGGTAGGTGCTGAATTCAGGCTGCTCGCTTGAAAAAGTGCAGTGGAAATTGTATATACATATTTTTTCATCGAATGAACAAACTTTAATGCACAGATGATGGATAACAACTTTCCAAAGTGCCTAAGTCTCATTTTCCTTGGAACTTAGGAGCTGAAATACTTTAGCGGATCTGAGCATCGGTAATTTAGGGTTAGGCCCACAAAGGGACTTAGGCATTTTGCGGTGCTAAGTGGTGCAACATCTACCTCTCAGGTGCCCGGTGGAATTTACAGCTCTGAGCTAGGCCCCCAAGCTCCCTAGACAATGCATAGGGGAGAGTTAGGGGCATAAGAAGAGGATTCTGAGAAGCCAGCAGGCTGAGCAGGGAGCTGCCTAAGCTAGCCAGTAAATAATGCTAAGGAGAGGGGTGGGCTTAGGGCCCATAGCCTCAAAGGTACTTAGGTGCCCAATTAGGCACCTGCCTCTGCTTTGGATTCATGGCTGTGAGACATCTTCTGGAGTTACGTGGCTAAGCCAGGGCATCCCTTTCTCATGAAAACTGAGAGCCAGCCAGCCAATAGCCCTTACATGGGCAATCTGGGTTCAAATCCCTGCTCTGCCTGCTTAGGGTCTCAGAGCTGAGTGCTTTAGCCACTGGGCTGTAGAGTTATACGCACACACTCTGGCCACATGACTGTTAATTATACAAAGTGGAACAGCTTCAACAGAATAGATGGGGAGACCGTCGCAGAATAGCCAGTAAGCTGGTGGTCAGTTGGGAGGTGCGAGACCTGGGGCCAAGTCTCTGCTTCAAATCCGGCAGAGTGGGGACGCAAACCTGGGTTTCCCACGTGATTCTCCTCAACGCTGGGCTGTTGGATATAGCCACACTCACACCAGCTCTGTGCAGCCCCAGTTGTCTTGTGCCGGTTAGGCATGCTCAGGGCACGCTATCAGATCAGGCCCTGCAGGTGAGATGGGTGGAGAAGGCCCAGTTTGTGAATCTTGCCAGGGCTTAGGAGTGAGCTAGGAGGCTGAGCCGCTCAACAGCTGCAGGACTTGGGCAGTTTTGCACATGCCCACTGGCAGAAACATAGGCACCATAGGGACTTTATTGGTGGAAATTTAGGTGTCTAGGGAATTTAGGTGCCTGCAAAGCGAGGCAGCAGCTGAAGATCTCTGAGGCACGTAACTGTTAGACTTAGGCACTCAGCAGACTTAAAAGTTAATGGACTTTAGGTTCCTAGGTGCCTAAGTCACTGGGGGCTCAGGTTCCAAAATCACTTAGGTGCTTTTGAAATTTTACCTGTTGCCTATTGGATTAAGTCCTGGGGTCATTACTCATTTTTTTTACTCTAGCCCTGATCCTGGAAAGAACATAAAAAGCCAGGTTTTCAGAGGTGCTCAGTTGCTTAGGCACCTTAATGAAGTGGCCAGGATTTTAAAAAATACGTAGCTCCCAATGCCTCCCATCGAGAATACCGGGAGCTGTTGGGTGCGGAGCACTTTTGAAGATCTGGCCGGTAGTGGGTGCATAACTTCACGCATGTACTCCTAGGCTTAAAGTCATGCTTCTGCTTCAACGCTTTGCTGGATCAGTGAGTGCATCCGTCCTTACTTTGTCAAACTCCTATTGAAGTCAGTGGGAGCTTTGGCTGGGTAAGGGCTGCAAGATAAGCCCCTGTATTGGGTACACGAGAAACTGCTGTTTTATACAACGTTCCCCAAAATGTTTTGTGTTCTTAGCATCACTCCCTATTTCACTATCATGCCTTCAAAAAAATAATGTAATCTCCATTTTTAATGAGAGCAGCCAGTATTTTAAGGGCCTTGTCATGCACTCCTTGATCTGAGTTGGAATTCCTGCTGCTTATGAAATGCAGGATTGGGCCGTCACTGCGAAGAGAAGTGCAAGCAGCATGGCCGTGGGCCAGCCATTAAGATTTGATTTCATTCCGTAGTCGATGGGCTCTGTTTAATAAGCAAATCTGCAAAGACACACTTGTTAAACTGGCAGAACGGCTGCACTGGGACTGTATTGTGTTCTGCTTACCAGAAAGAACTGATCAGTGCTAGTCTTACATGTAAAAGTAATACCACATTACAGCACCACAAAATGAAAAAGGAGATTATGAATTTCATTAGAGGGGAGAGAACGGGCTTGTTCACCTTAGCAAATCAATAGAGCTTGATTTAATCTTCGGCACATACAGTGCTTCCAAGGGGCAGCTGCCAAATAATTATTGTTTATGATCCCAATATAAGGAAGTAGTTTAATTTACTGACTGTTACATTATTATGTATTGGGAGACGTTAACTTGACATTATGCTCACGGGCACGATGATGCAAAGTCGTGTTATGTCCTGCAGTGACGTTATGATGTGATGCACTGGAACAGAATGTGTGGCAGCCGGACATGTGCCGAGACTGCTGTTTTTCGCACACTAGCTGGAGCAGTGTGGACACTGCAGCACATGTGGTGACCTGGGCTAGCCACCCAAGTATGAACCCAGGAGCTCTGGCAGGCTGCTAGCTTGCCTGTACTGCCACATCTGCAATGCTGTTTTTGCTGCACAAGTTCGAGCAGGCGTTTCTGTCTGCCA